TTGTTGTATGTGTGTGTATATGTAGTTGTTGTTGTTTTTCTCATTGCTGTTTATTTGTTTGGTGACTTTTCTCAACTAATTCTGTGGATTCTATATTCCTTGTACTATGTGGCCCCTGAGTTCTCTGCTAGCTTATTTTTAAAAAACTTCTTGTTTTTATTTTTAAGCCTGGATTCCTAGGAGATCACACCTGTGTAGGTATATGTTGGTGGTCAGCCAGTGATTGGTTGGATTTCCTTAAATGCCTTGTCCATATGTCTTCCACCCTTCGCCAAGGGGATCTGTGTGAGAAGGCGTGTCTTCAAACTTTAGCCAGTTTACAAGGCAGGCTTAGCTTTCACATTCTGCTTACGGTCAGCCAGAAGTGAGTGACTTGGGGCCTCTCCTTTTCCACCTCTTTTTTGTGCATGTGCATAGCCTTGACTATGTGCGCAGCCCTTTAGATACCTGGGAATATATCAGGGCTTTTCAGAGTTTCCTATGGTTGTCTCATTCTCTATGATTTCCTTTTAAATTCCTGGCCAAAGCAGTCAGGCCTCTCTGTTGTCTGTAATTTCGTCAGCCTTTGCCTACTATACTACTGAGCTAGAGAGGGAAAGAGGATGGGAGTTAGCTACAAGTTAAAATGTCACAGAACCCATTGTCTCACCAAGATTCAGTAGTTTCTCTTAGACAGATGATTTTCACTTCATTCTGTGTCTTTGGTTAATTGCAAGTTTTGAAATGGTTGATTGTAGTTGGTTTGCCCATATTTTCATTGTTTTAAAGGGAAAGCCAGTTCACCAAAGCCCTTATTCTGTCATTCCATTTATCTCCTATGGCTCCCATCTTTAAAGAACATTTAAAACCCGATTTATCACACATCCCCATGTAACTGTGACTTTCTTTATTCCCCTAACAGCAAAACTCTCCAAAAGAGCTGTCATTCCTCACTTTCTCCTACTCTTCTATTCTCTGTTTGTTCATACAAAATATATTAGATATGCAATAAAAAATTATATACATGAGTTATCAAGAATTAATGTAATGAAAACTGAAGAAGTCACAACTCCACCCAAGAGCAACATTAATGATAACATCTATCCCTATGTCCTTTTCTATCCTATTCCCCGCCATCCCCCCTGCCAGAAATTACCATTCTCTTAAGTCTTATGTTTAACGTTCTCTTGCTCTTTTTGATACATTTTTTGCATATTTGTGGAAATGTTTAACCAATACATTATTTATTTGGCTTGGTCTTGAGCTTTGTGAAAAATATCCTCATACTGTATGTGGTCTTCTGTGACTTACTTTTTTTCACTCATTATTATGTTTCAAAGATTCACCTGGGTTCTTGCATGTAACTGTAGCTTGTTCATTCTCAGTGCTGTATAATAGTTCATTGCGTGACCATAAAACACAGTATGCATCCATTTATCTGTTGATTGTTTCCAGCTTTTTGCTGTTAGGAACAGTGCTACTATGAATATTCTTGTGCGTTTCCCCTAGTACACCTATACACCCATCTTTCTAAGGTATGTTCTGAGGAATAGAATTGCTAGTTAATAGGATGTGTAAACATTCAGCTTGACAGTATTATGCCAAAATGCAGGTTGCCAATTTACATACCTTTCAACAATTTATGAGATCCCATTGATCCACACCTTAATCAGTACTTGATATTGTCCCACTTTTAATTTTTATCATTATAGTGAGTGTAAAATGGTATCTCATTGTGGACTTAATTAGCAATTTTCCAATCACTAATGTGGTTGAGCATTTTTTTCATGTTTATTGGCCATTCATGTTTCTTCTTCTGTGAAATTACTGTTAATGTCTTTTGCCCATTTTTAAAATTGGGATTTTTCTCACTTTTATTGGTTTGTAGGAGTTATTTAATTATTTGGATACTCATCATTTGCCAATTATGTGGCTTCTTTTTTCCTTTATGGTGTCTTTGCGTGAGCAGGAATTCCTAATTTTCGGTGAGTTGAACCATTCAATCTTTTCTGTATAGCCAGCACAGTTTTTTGTGTTGTCTTTCCTAACCTACGATCATAAAGACATTCTTTATTTTCTTGGAATACAAGTTTAAAAGTTTTATTTTTCTATTTAAGTCCTTAATCCAAATGGAATTGATTTTTGTGTGGCATAAAGGTATGAGGGAGGGAGCCAGTTTCATTATTTTCCACACGGATAGCCTCGGGATCTGAAGCACCACCTCTGTCATACACCAAAGTTCCATTTCTGTATTGGTCCGTTGCTGGGATCTCTGCTATTGGCCAGTATTTTGTCCCTGAGCCAGTATCACATGGCTTTAATTACTTTACTACCTGACTACCTTAATTACTTTGGTTTCATAAAGAATCTTGACATTTGGTACAGCAACATCTTCCCATCTTACTCTTCTTCAGGAATATGATATATTCCTGGCCCTTTCTTATTTCAAACACATTTCAGAATCATCTTGTCATGTCCTACAGGAATATTGGAATTGCAATGCATCTATAGATCAGTTTGAAGAGAATCGATATATTGATGATGCTGAGTCTTCCTAGCTACGAACATGACATACCCTTTCATTTTAAATAAATTCTTGAATGTCTCTTGGTACGGTTTACTAATTTCCTGCATAGGGTCTTGCATATCTTGTGTTAGACTTATTCCTTGGTATTTATGGTTTTCCTGCTATTATAAGGGAGATCTTGTCATTTAACATGTTTTATCTCACTTGCAGGTGTAGAGAAATGAAGTTGACTTTTGTGTCAATATTCCAGCCATTCACCTTGTTAAACTTTTATTTTTTTAAGCAAACTTTTTATTTTAGACTAATTTTACAGTTACGGAAAAGTAAGTAAAGAAATAGTACAGAGTGTTCCTGTGTACTCCTCACCGTGATATATTTGTCAAAACTAAGAAAGCCATATTGGTATATTATTATTAAGCAAACTTCAGACTTTATATGGATTTATCAGTTTTCCCACTAATGTCTTTTTTTCTGTTCTAGGATCCAGTTCAAAATACCACATTGCGTTTAGTTGTCATCTCTATTGCCCTCTGCTCTATGACAGTTTCTTAGTCTTTCCATGCTTTTCATGCCCTTAACAGTTTTGAGGCATACTGTAGACTGTCCCTCAGTTTGGATTTGTCTGAAGTTTGCCTCATAATTAGACTGGGGTTGTTTTTGGAAAGAATACCATAGAGTTGAAGTGCCCTTTTCATCACATTATATCAGAGGTATGTGATATCCCCATGACATCATTGATGTTGACCTTAATCACTGGTTAAGGTAGTGTTTGCCAAGTGTCTCCATGGTAAAGTTGTTATTTTTCCCTTTTTATTTTCTGTTCTTTAGAAGAATCCAGCCAACCCTCAAGGAGAGGGAGGGGATTTAAGCTCCACCTCTGGAAGGGGGTGTATTTGCATGTAGTATTTGGAATTCTTCTGTAAAAACTACTAATTTCTTCTTATTTGTTTATTTACCTGTCTCTTTACTTATTTATTCAGTTGCCTGTTTGTATCAGTATGCACTTGTGTGTATTTATTTAATAATTTTAATTATAAATCCAATACTTTGTCATTTGTCTTGTTGCTCAGATTGTTCCAGCTTTGGCCACTGGGAGCTCTTTCAAGTTGGCTCCTGTGTCCCTTTTCAAATGCCTCCATCTTTTGTTTTTTTAGCACTGCCTTACCTGCTTTGGCGCTACAAGATGCTCCCTACTCATCTTGTTATTTTCCTGCTCCATCCCTAGAATTGGCCATTTCTCAAGGAGCCCTTGTTCCTTCTAGGTTGTCTGTATATTCTTTTTTTTTCTTTCTTTTTTTAATTTAAATTCAATTAGCCAAGGTATAGTACATCATTACTATCTGTATATTCTTTTGTGTTTTCTATGTTGACAACAATATCAGCTATAAATAATGACAACTTGGTTTTTCCCTTTCCAATCTTTATGCCTTTCATTTATTCTTCTTGTGTTACTGAGATGGACAGGCCCTCCAGTACAGTGTTCAAGAGAAAAGACAGTAGTGGGCATCCTTGTCTTGTTGGGTATTTATTTTAAAGGAAACACCACTAACTTTTTTCCCTATTTAGAATGATATTTGCTGTAGATTCCTCCAGGTGTTACCAGATTAAAGCAAGTGCCAACCTGTCACTATGCTAAGAAGTTTTTATTATTGTTTTTAAATCACAAAAGGGTGTTGAATTTTTTTTTGTCAAATACCTTTTCTGTTTATTAGGATCATTATGGGGTTTTTTTTTTTTCTCAGTAATGTGATAATGTGGTAAATGATGTGTATGGATTTTCCTCATGGTAGACTACCTTTGCATTTCTGGTATAAACACTACTTGGTCATGATCTTTTCCTTTTTATACGGTACTAGATTTAGTTTGTTAATATTTGTTTAGGATTTTTGTATCTGTGTCCATGAGTAAAATTGGTCTTTAATTTTCCTTTCTCATGCAATCAGAATTTGCTTTTGGCCTCAAGTTCTGCTGGTATCCTAGAATGAGTTAGTGTTCCCTTTTTTACAATATTCTGGAAGATGCTATATGACTTTGGAACGATCTGTTTGGTAGAATTCTCCTGTAAAACCATCTTGCCCTGGTGTTTTGCTTTTTTAACATTGAATTAATATTCAACTTCTAAATAAATTCTTTTCAAAAATTTATTTGAGAAACTTGAAATCTGCTCCCATAACATGTTTATTTTATATCAGGTTTTATGCTTCAAGCGGCTACCCACAAATCCTGATCGAGACTTTTTAATGATATGTTTCTTCAAATTCTTAACAGTCACTGCCACCAAAAATCTCTCTTTGTACAATGGAAGCGATAAAGTATTTAGAACCGATTTTTAACTTGTTCAGAAATGTTTAATGATTGAAATGATAGCAGCCTTTTTTGTTTTACTGACAAATATATTGTTAGAATTTCTTGAGACAGTGTGATTAGATTTCAAATCCGACTGAACTCTTTCATATTAATTATTTTGAAATAATGATGAAGCTCTTATTTGCAGAACATGCATCACTGTTAGAACCATCACCCTGCAGCTAGCTTGGACACCATTAAAAGGGCTCATCAGCTGCAAACGGATAGAAGTATCTGGTATTCGTGAAGACAGAGTTTTGGGGCTGCCACCTGGAGCTACGCCCTCCAGAAGCCCCTGCTTGGCCTCCCTGCACCCAACCCCACACCAAGCAGTCACAACTCGGGCTGTGTGTGGTGTTTCTTGGCAATTGGAACGCAGACTCCTCCAGCGGCTCCACAGCCCCCTTGTCCTCAGTGAGCAGAAGACCACAGAAGCTGGCTCCTGAAGAGGCTGTCCAAGCGATAGAGCTCCTCCTTGGCTCTGCTTAGCACATTTACCACACAGGAGTGCTGGATGTTCCTCATTCCTGCTCACTACCCACGGGGACTGTAGAGGGATTTGTCAGGCCCCATTTCACCAAGGGCCACCCTGTAAGGATCTCCACAGGAGGCCGCCCATAGAGAGAAGGGGCCTGCCTGGGTTCTCCACTGCCTTAAGGCCTACGTGGACACCCTCCAGGGCTGAGGGGATCAAAACCTTTTCACCTACCCGTGATCCACATTATCAGCTGCAAAGTTCTGCCTCCGAGTTTGTGTTATTTTGTTTGTTTTTTTGTTTTGTTTTGTTTTGTTTTTGGTAGAAAAAGTTTTAACTGCTTCTTCCATTCCTGTAGTAACTAGAGGGCTACTCGGGATTTCTTTTTGCTTCTTGAGTCAATTTTGGTAAGTTATCGATTTCTAGGAATCAGTCCATTTTATCTGCGTTCTCGAATTTATTGGCATAAAGTTCCCTTTTTAAAAAATCCTCTGCTGTATATAATCTGTAACTATGTCTCCTTTTTCATTGCTGATATTGGTTATTTGTGCCTTCTCACTTTTTTTCTTGATCAATCTCACCAGAGGTTTGTCTATTTTATTAGTCTTTTCCAAGAACCAACTTTTGGCTCTGTTGCTCCTCTCTATTGTGTCTTTGTTTTCTATTTCTTTAATTTCCGCTCTTATCTTTTTTGATCTCCTTCCGTCCACATTTTTTGGATTTATTCTGTTGTTCTTTTTCTGATTTCGTATGTTAGACATGGAGCTCATTAATTTTCAGCCTTTCTTGTTTTATAATGTGTGCATTTAAAGATATACATTTCCTTCCAAATACTACTTTTCTACACATTCAAACATGTCATACTTCATTATTGTTCAGTTCCAAGTACTTCAACATTTCCATCATGGTTACTTCTTTGGTGAGTGATATAGAAGTGTGTTTATAAATTTCTAAATGTGTGGGGAATTTTTAATGTATCTCTTTGTTATTGAAATCTGTCTTAATTGCATTATGGTCTGAGGATGTGGTCCGTATGATAACAACTCTAAAATTAATTGAGACTTGTTTTATGGCTTAGTACATGATCAATATTTTTGAATGTTTCCTATGTGCTTTATAAGATGTATGTTCTCTAATTGTTGAACACAGAGTTCTACATATGTCTATTATCAAGTTTGTTAATTGTATTGTTCAAATTTTCTATATCTACACTGATATTTTGGTCATGCTATGCCAGTAATTTTAAGAGGTGTGTTCATTTTCAACTATGATGGTGGATTTGTCTGTTTCTCCTTACAGTTCTTTTTAAAAATTTTATATATTTTGAGGATATTTTATTAGGAATATTCAAATGAAGAATTGTTATACATTCCTGGTAAATATGTAATGACCCTCTCTATTCTCGATAATGCATTTTTTGAAGTCTGTCTTATCTTACCTTAACACAAGCTTTTCTTCTTGTTCGGATTTGTGTGGTATACAATTTTCCATCCTTTCATTGTTCAACATTTTCATGCCCTTATGCGTTAATTATATCTCTTGAGAATGGCATACAGCTGGACCCTTAAAAAAATCTGATCTGATGATCTCTTTTAATGGCGAGTTTAGTCTGTTTACATTTTCTATGATATATTTGGACTTGTTTCTACCATTGTACTTTTTTATTTCTATTTCCTACCACCACCTTTTCTATGCTTCGTTTTTCTCTTTTCTGGCCTGTTTTTTAGTTCTGAGATTTGTTTATTTGCTTTCTTATGCAGTTTTTTCCTCTGTACTGTTTGAAATTTATACATTCTTTTTTTTTTATTATTCTTTCTGTGGTTATCCTTGAACTTTCACCATGCATGTGTAACTTATAAGGTCTAAAGTTAAATAGCATTTTAACCTCCCTCTTGAAGAATACAGGAACCTTTAACTCTGGTCATTCCTCTCTTTGCCACATGCTATTGTCTTGAGTATGTTAGTTTGTTTCTTTTTTTTCTAACCTCACAAATTCTATATCATCATTAGTATTATTTTATATAGACAGTATTTGTTTGGATTTACATGCATACATTCTTGCATCTCAGACCATCATTCTGGGATCATTTTCTTTTATCATAAATACAATGTTTAGATGTTCTTTTAGTACAGGTCTCTTGGTGTTAAATTCTCCCAGTTTTTGTTGTTATATGCAAATGTCTTTATTTTATCCTCATTCTTAAAAGATAATTTGTTATAAGTATTTAGAAGTCTGCTGTTGGTCTAATTGCTATTTTGGGTAGGTATTTTTGTTTTCTTATACTTGAACTACTTTTAAGAAATTCTCTCTCTCTCTCTCTCTCTCTCTCAGAGGGAGATCTGCAGGGGGGTATGCAGTTTCATTCTAACATGTTTAGGCATGTATTTCTTTTTTATTCTTCCTTGGAAATGTGCTTCATACTTTTTAATTCATGTTTTTCATACTTTCTAGAAAATTCTCAGCCATTATCTTTTCAAATATTGTCTTTCTTCCACCCTTTCCATATTTTCTTTCTCAGAATCCAGTTAATCATATTTCAGACCACATTGCATCTTCCATATCTCATAATGTCTTGTTGATATTTTCTATTTCCTTGTCTTCCTGCATTTCATTCTGGGCAATTTCTTCAGATATATCTTTCAGTTTACTGATACTCTCTTCAGCTCTGTCAGCTCTGTCTGTTTAATCTGTCTACTGAGTTTTTTATTCCAATAAGTATATTTTTCATGTGTACAGGCTGTGTATTTTTCGCTTTCGAATCTGCCTAGTCATCCCTAATAGTCTCTTGTTGCTTGCTCATCTTTGTGGTTGCATCTTTTATTTAAAAAGAACATTTTATACACTTTTTGTTCAACCAGTAATCACTGTTTGCATAAGTGTGACTCATTATCGTTCACATCTAAACCATATAGTACTCTCTGATCATATATCCTTTGTTGTATACCTTTTTGTTTTCCTAGTAATCGTCTTTGTTTCTTTTGCCTAGTGTTACCATACCTATTACTAATTCTTTGAAATTCCTTTTAAAATCCATATCATATCATGTCTCTCCTCTGCTCAAAATTCTCCCATGGCTCCCAGCTCCCTCAGAAGAAAAGTCAAAGCCCTCACCATGGCCCAAAAGTCCACACAGTGTGGTTCCCATGCCCTTTCTGACCTCCTATCCTGTTAATCTTCCCATTACTCACTCGTTTCCAGCCACCCTGGCCCCTGGCTGTTCTTCAAACATGTCAGGTAACCCTCCCCCTTCAGAGCTTTTGTGCCTGCTGTTCTCACTGCCTGGAACACTCTTCTTTCCAGATAATCTCATGAGTTTCCCCCCCACTTCTAGTATGCTGAAATGTCACCTCCCTAGAGAAGCATTCCCTAACCAAATTAGTCCCATTCACCAGTGTTTTCTAACCCCTTATCCTACTTGACGTCTCATGTTTTTGTACCAAACACTGATCACCACCTGATATATGTTCTATTTATTTATTGTGATTAGTGTTTGTCTTTTCCCAGTAGACTGTAAGCTCCACAAAGCAGGGACTTTGTTTTGTTCACTATTGTATCCCCAGTGCCAAGAAGAACAGTGCATAGTAATATTTAGTAGATACTCAATAAATATTTATGGAATAAACGGTATTATTGATTAAATAATTAATGTGGATGATAGAGAAATGTTCATTAATGTGGATGATTAATAGTTAATTAATTAATGTGGGTGATAGAGAAATGCATTGAGAACTAGCCTGGTCATGAAGGCCTTTCATGCCATGCTAAGGAGTGTGGATGTCATTGTTCAGAAAGGTGAGGGTTGTGAAGAAGCAGTAAGGGTAGCTCCTGGGTTCTTTCGAGAAGTAAGTTCCTGGTTGGTAGGGTGGGGACAAAGACCCGTGTTCTCTATGACTGGCTCTATGCCCTGAGGCTCCTGAAGGTGGACCTGCCTCTTTCTCCGACAGCCCTCAAACTGCTGTATTGTCACGCCTGCCTGGTACCTGGTGAAAACCAAAGCCACAGTTCTCACTGGGCCTTCTGATCCCAGCTAGGATCCCCCTTCCTCCTGCTCTGTGAGGAACGGTTTCTTGTCCCTGCTCAAGCAAATCACCCCCCTTAGACTTTTTCTTTTACTGGGTTAGGAGGTGATGGTGGTACAGAAGCTGATACAGAGCCTGGCATGTAGTAAGTACTATTATAATGGTGGACAACACAAGGAGCTAAGTTTCAGCTCCCCATTGTCAAGACTGCAGTAGGTCATGAGGTTTTAGTCCTGACTTTCCCCTTAAACTCTTTGGGGACCAACATGGCTCCAGTGTATCTACTTGCCCATGACTGTTGGGATACTAATTCTCTTGTCTTAGGTGTAACCTACTCCCTCAGCTATTTGTCACCCACTGATTTTATCAGAATGTCATCAATATACACAGGGCCCTATAGCATGCCTCTAGAGATTTCCCTCTCCAGGCCAACATGAAGTCATTCATCATTACCAGTGTAACCATCCAACTAGTTCTAAGTTCAATCGAGCAAAATCAACTGACCACCTACTATGTGTCAGGCCTCCCACTCTGCCCTGAGGACCCAGAGATGAACAAGGCATGTCCCCAGACACAGAACCATAATTCAGTGTGGCCAGTGCAGTAGCAGTGGGTATAATAGACTGTGAGAGCCTCTGAGGAACGTAGAAGCCAGGTCAGGGGACCAGGGAAGATTTCTTAGAAGAGATGGCATATCAACTGAGCTTTAAAAAGATGAGTAAGAATCTTCTGGATGACTAACAAGGGGAGAGGAGGGCAGTCCAGGCAAAAGGAATAGCATGGGCAAAGGCCCAAAGATAGGAAGCAGCATGATGTGCACTAACCTGCCTAACTACGATTACTGTTCACCCGTCTTTCTATGAGATCATCCTAAGACACTTTAACACCAAAACCCAGATATGAGGAGTTTGTGGCCTTCTGACATGCTAAGGTGTTCAGACTCTTCAGAAAGGTCATGAAAAGTTGGTCAGACATGACTGTCCATGAGCTTGTCCACACTAGCTTCCAGTGTCCCTGGCTTCCTTATCTAGACCATGATGTTCATGTGACTTGCTTCCTTTAGGCCTCCCTGGGGTTGGGGTCATTCTCACTCTCCTGGAGATTAGAGTCTCCCTCAGCCCTATGTGAGGAGATCTCCTTGTGGAGAGGAATTTTTCTAACTCCTGACACTAACCACCTCTCTCAAGGAGTAAAGAGGGCCTGCCCCATCTTGTCCTTAGATATTGCGATTCATCTCTACTTGGGTTTCATTCACACCTGTAATAATCTAGGACAAGTGGGCTGTGGAGTCTGGCAAGCCCAGTTTCAAAGCCTGGAACCCCCACGTCTTGATTGTGTGACCTTACAACCTATCCTCTCTAAACATCAATTTTCTCATCAGTAAAATGGGTCTAATGCCTACCTTGGACAGTAGGGTGCTGGGCATGGAGCCCAACACAGGGCTTGAACTCATGACCCTGAGATCAAGATCTGAGCTGAGATCAAGAGTCGGACATTTAACCAACTGAGCCACCCAGGTGCCCCTACCTAGGATAGTTTTTGTGGATGTTAGAATACATG